GTGGACTTTTCGTAATTTTAGGTACCCTTTGATAGTTTCAATTTCTTGCACATCGGTTTATTTTCAGAATTATCAAAGAAGCATCTTAGGTAGATTTAGTTTGTTTATATACGAGTACACTCAGAGAATTCAATTAAATTTGGTTTAGGCTGGGTGCCGTGGCTCAGGCCTGTAATCCTAGCACTCTGAGAGGCTGAGGCAGGTGGATTGCTTGAGCTCAGGAGTTCCAGACCAGCTTTGAGCCAGAATGAAGACCCCAGTCCCCCTCAACCCCATCTGTACTAAAAATAGGAAAACTAGCTGTGCATCAGGGTAGGTATCTATAATCCCAGCTACTTGGGAGACTGAGGCAAGAAGATTGCTTTAGCCCAGGAAACTGAGGTTGCTGTGAGCTATGATGACACCACTGCACTCTGCCCAGGGTGACAGAGTGAGACTCTGTCTCAAAAAAAATTTTTTTTTAATTTGGTTTTTACTAACTCTGGTGCTCTAATTTATGCAAACTGTTGATTGTGATGTGTGACTATGACCTGCCCTCTGTTTTAAAAGATAAAGCTTTCAGATCATTTTCAGCTTCACTGGACCCTCAACCTTGCTTTTCTGAGCTTCTCCTCTTTGAATTTGGAGAGGAATGAATAACTCAGTCATTTCTGAGCCCAGATTGGAACCACTTATTAAATAAAGAAAGCCGTGCCCCTCTTTTTCCCTGAAAATAGCACGTCTGCCTGGAGGCAGCACAGTGACCTGCTTGTGCCTTCATGTGAATGGGGGATCTGAACAAGGGAAACTGAAGGCTGCAGAAGGGCTTTGGGAGGATTTCAAAGGCAAGTTTGTTTTCCACATTTTACTCAGGTTTACCTTGTAAAGGGATTAGAAAGCAAGACCTCTGAAAACAATGTTAAGAGACTGTGATTAAGTAATCTGAAGATCTTCAGGCAGTGAAAGGCTGCTATGCAACTAGAATTCCTAAGAACAAACCATAAGTAAATGGGCTCAAATGGGCATAAAAACAGAATGCTCAATACCATGCAGTAGAACCTCTGTAAGTTGACCAACCAAGGGCCTGTAACCAACTGGTCAACATGAGGAACAAGGCCTACTGTGCTGCTGTGAACAGGAGGTGCATGTCCAGGCTGTGAAAATTAGGTCAACTTAAGGAAGGGGTCAGTGGAGGGAGGTGGTCAACTATGGAGGTTCTACTGTATTTGTTTAGATAGTAGGAAAATAACTTCCCCTGATAAGAACCAAAATAACTGATTGTGGAGACTTGATCATCTTTATTAACAGAACAGAAGTCCCTCTGAAGGACTGAGTGTGACCAGGTTTCCATGTCCTTCTGGACCCCAGAGTCTCAGAGGAAGGGTGGTTCCAAGGGGATCAGCATGGTTTCAGTGAGTCCCAGGAATTGGCATCTGTTTTAAAAGGGAGGAGAAAGAGCCGCACTGCACTCAGATGTAGGGACAGGAAAACATACCGCAGTATAGACCACATAATAGCTGTGTGAGAAACACTGATCAGTTTGTGAAGAAATAAATTCTTAGAAACCAGTTGAATAATCACTTCTGTTAACAGGTAACACTGATTTACGGTCTCTGGGTTGTCACCCACACAAGACTCTTACATATTGCACAAAACTCTAGGACAGATTTCCACATGGGAAGGTTTCCACCTGGTCCCTGCTCTTCTCCACAGAAGGGTGACAAAAGTTCCTTAAGCCATTGCTCACTGTGACGCAGTGGGCTTCCTCCTGTGAAGGGCGGCAAGACTCTCTTTACTTCATTGGCAACCTCCAGTAGCATCAGGTGGCTTTGTTTACAGGCAAGCATCATTAAATGTGACAGAAATTGCTGCAGCTGTGACTCCTTCCTTTTGGCAATGGACCTTCCGCCTTTACAGAAGTCCTCAGGGGCTCAAAATGGCAGATGTCTTTTCAAAAAATATACACACCAAATTCAGCTTGCCCACCCTCAGAGGAAGCTGGCTCTGGGCATTATTCTTTGAGGAGGAGCTGTGAGCCGCTCAGGGTAGCTTGCTGTTCCCCTGCCAGTACAACTTCTCTTCCACTTTTTTCTTTTTCCATCGGCAGAGAAGCAACATCTTAAAGGTCTTCCTGAAGGTTCTGTTGCAGAGGGCATAGCAGATGGGGTTGACGGTGCTATTGACATAGCACAACCAATAGCCCAAGTGCCACAGGGTGACTGGGACACACTTGTCACAGAAGGTGGAAACTAGGACCATGATGTTATAAGGGGTCCATGTGATGATGAAGGCCAGGAGAATGGCACTCAAGGTCTGGGCCGCTTTCCTCTCTTTGACAAGGACCATTCTCTTTCGTTTTGTCATTTGATGGCTGAGGTTGGGGTCGAGGCCTTTCGTCGAAGGGTCCTTGGCCACTGGGAAGGAGCAGGGCATAATTTTCACTTTGTGACAGCCATTGTTGGTCTCCCGGGTCCCATCAGCTTTTACCACCAATCGGAACTTATAGGCCACACATTTCTGACTCTTGGGTCTATGAGCAGCAGCTGGAGACAGGAAATATTTGGGGGTGTCATAGTCATTTTGTTCATTTTGAGCTTTCACAAAAGTTTCCTTGGTCTCTTCAGCACTGAATTCTTCCCTTGGGCTTTCCTTGGCCTGCCTTTTGTAGACCACTTGGAAGACAGGCTCTGCGGTGGGCTTGTCCTCGTCTTCTGAGGAAGCGTAGCTGCTGCAGGTGGTGAGCTGCTCAGCTTTGGGCCAGTCAGGGCCTGGGCCAGTGACTTGGGACAGCTTCCCGGTGGTGGAGGTGCTCCTGCGGGAGGATGACCAGGAGGCCTGCTCCCTGTCCCTGTGGGCCAGGGCAGGTCGAGGGCAGCTGAGGCAGGATCTGAGCAGAGCCCTGTGAGCTGGCTTTCTCTTCTCAGCTTTGGCCACGGAATCAGAGCCCTGGAGGTCAGCCAGGTCTTTGGTTCGCTTCTCTGTTTCCCGGTAGATTCGGCAGTAGAGGATGGTCATGACAGAAACAGGGATGTAGAAGGCAGCAATGGCAGTGCCAAATGTGATGGTGGGCTCAGAGAGGAACTGGATCTGGCACTCATCCGGTGGGACCGTCCGTTTCCCAACCAAGTACTGCCAGCAGAGGATTGCTGGGGCCCAGAGGATGAAGGAAATCAGCCAGGCCAGGCCAATCATGATGCCAGCCCTCTTTGGGGTACGCTTGGCCCGATATGTCAGGGGTCTTGTGATGGAAAAATAACGGTCAAAACTGATCACCAGAAGGTTCATGACAGAGGCATTGCTGGCCACATAGTCCAGTGCAAGCCAAAGGTCACAAGCCAGACTCCCAAGAGCCCAGCGTCCCATGAGGATGTAGGTGGTGTAGAGGTTCATGGAGAAGATGCCAATGATGAGATCTGCACAGGCTAAGCTGAGCAGGTAATAGTTGTTAACTGTCTTGAGCTGACTGTTAACTTTGAAGGAGATCATGACCAAGACATTGCCCACAATGGTGATCAGGCTCACCACAGCGGTCACAGCTGCGATGGTGATGACTTCCCATAACCCATGGCGTTCCAAAGGCTGGTGATTTACTGGGGTGCCATTGACTGTGGTTACATTGTGCAAAGATTCCCCTTCCATCCTGGTGCCAGAGTTTACATTAGGATTAAATCTCAGGTTCTTGACCGTTCTCTTTTCTGTCTCACCTCTTCTTGGCCACGCATCTGGAAGAAAGGAAAACACATTAGCTCCATTCACCAGCATGACTTTCTTTTCCACCCATTGTTTACAGTTTCTAACAGAATATTAAACACGGCCACACACATATTCAGAGTAAGCGGAAATCACTAAGGTTTGGTAACATTTTTATAAGGACATCATCCTTTTTTGCTTTTTGTGATTACCAATGCCTTAGTGCCCTTCTTGGGCATGAGGCTGCTGCCCTCTTGTGGTGCTTTTTAAAAATGAGGTTGGAAAGATGAGAAAGGTGAGGGAAAAGAAAAAAATAATTGGATTGTTAAGGAGCAGTAAAGAGAGGAAAGCAGGGATGCTTTGCTTGGATTGCAACGACCTTCAGGGCAGAAACGTTGTTTTTAGGGTCCTGATGATAAGCACCTAGACTTTCATGTGCTGGGAATGACAAGTGGTATCTTCTTCTTTTTTTTTTTTTTGAGACAGAGTCTCATTCAGTCACCCTGGGCAGAGTGCAATGGCATCACAGCTTATAGCAACCTCAGCTCTTGGGCTCAAGCAATCCTCTTGCTTCAGGCTCCCAGGTAGCTGGGACTACAGCTGCCCGCCACAGTGCACAGTGCTAGTATTTCTTTCTTTCTTTTTTTTTTTTTTTTTGAGACAGAGCCTCAAGCTGTCCCCCTGGGTAGAATGCCGTGGCATTACAGCTCACAGCAACCTCCAACTCCTGGGCTCAAGCGAGTCTGCTGCCTCCACCTCCCAAGTAGCTGGGACCACAGGCGCCCACCACAACGCCCGGCTATTTTTTTTTTTGGTTGCAGCCGTCATTGTTGTTTGGCGGGTCCGGGCTGGGGATTCGAACCTGCCACCTTAGGTGTACGTGGCTGGCACCTTAGCCGGTTGAGCTATAGGCGCCGAGCCAAGTAGTATTTCTATTTTTAGTAGAGACGGGAGTTTCACTTTGCTCAGGATTGTCTCAAACTCTTGAGGTCAGGCGATCCATCTGCCTCAGCCTCCCAAGGGCTGGGATTACAGATGTGAGCCACCGCGCTCAGCCAGTATCTTCTACGCTATCCCAGTATCAATTATTACACATTACTGAGATGCTGTGGTAAGCCGAGAACATACTATTCCACTTCCCCTGCCCTAATGCACAAACTCCAAGTACATACCTGGCATCTGGGAGGAGGGTCTGAAATTTATCCCAGCTTCTTAAGTTAATGACCCTCCCTCCATTCCTGGACTACAGGCAGTCCCCAGGTTACAAATGAGATAGGTTACATAGATTTGTTCTTAAGTTGATTTGTATGTAAATTGGAACAGGTACACTTACCTATTACCTGTAATAGCCTCCATTGATAAGGGGAAGTCATACCTCAGTCGGATATTTGTAACTCAGGGATTTACTGTAATCACCCCCACTCCTAAGTGTGAGTTGTATGTAAGTCAGATGTTTGTAAGTTAGGGACTGCTTGTATTTGCAATATCATAGAACTGTTTTATCTGTTTTTCTGATTATAAAGTAATATATTCCTCATAAATGTCAAGATGTACAACTTAGAAAAGTCCCCTCTACTTCTATCTTGCAGAGGTAATCAGTGTGAACAGGTGAGTACAGTGGCTGTCAGCCTTTCTAGCAATGCCGGGACCCTTTAATACAGTTCCTCATGTTGTGGTGACCCCCAATCACATAACATTATTTTTGTTGCTACTTCATAGCTGTAATTTTGCTACTGTTAGGAATCGTATATGCAGCATGTATTTTCTTTTTTTTGAGACAGAGTCTCAAGCTGTCCCCCTGGGTAGAGTGCCATGGCTTCACTGCTCACAGCAACCTCCAACTCCTGGGCTCAAGCGAGTCTCCTGTCTCAGCCTCCCAAGTAGCTGGGACCACAGGCACCCGCCACAGCACCCAGCTATTTTTTGGATGCAGCCATTATTGTTGTTTGGCGGGCCCGGGCTGGATTCGAACATGCCACCTTAGGTGTATGTGGCTGGCGCCTTAGCTGCTTGAGCCACAGGCTCCGAGCCGCAGCATGTATTTTCATTGTTACAAAGGGGTCGCGACCCACAGGGTGAGAACCGCTGCTTTAGTGTCTCTTTTGGCATTTTTCCCTCTGGGCACTTACTGATGAACAGTTAAATGCAACCATTGTTAAATGGATACGTTTTTAATATTTACACTCTCTATTTGTCTTTTACTTAACAAATCATCAAGGACAGCTTTTTTTTTTTCTCCGTATGTAGCCTAGGAAACAGGCCTTAAGCTCGATCTAAGGACAGCTTTGGCATCACTACATCTATGGCTATCATTTTTCATTTTAATGACTGTTCATTATTCCACTTAATGGATGTTCTATATTAATCAATCCCTTGTTGACAAATTCCAACTTTTAAAACTAAAAAAAAGAAATTTCCTTTAGTAGATGAGAAATCTTTGTACAGGATAAAGATTTCAATGGACACTAAGGGGGTAAGTGGTAGACAATAGGTCTCCTTTGCACTTCTGATCTTGAAATTCAAAAGCCCCCCCTTTCTGGAGATAACCATTTATCTTTCCTTCCAGAGATAGATATATGTACATGCAACATATTTGCAACATATTTATGATATATAAAAAATAACCCCTTAATTACAAATTCCAGCACCTTGATATGATAATCGGTAGTAAAGGGAGGAGAGTCTTTTTGATGGTTTTCAAAGCCCCAAGTGGGCAATTCCACTCTGCCCACTGCCTATCTTTGATAACAGTAATTGACATAAAGATGACAAGTTTAGGCTTGGCACCTATGGCTTAAATGGCTAAGGCACCAGCCACATACACCTAAGATGGCATGTTTGAATCCAGCCCGGGCTCGCCAAACAACAATGACAGCTGCAATCAAAAAATAGCCGGGCATTGTGGCAGGTGCCTGTGGTTCCAGCTACTTGGGAGGTGGAGGCAGGAGACTCACTTTAGCCTGGGAGTTGGAAGTTGCTGTGAGCTGTGATGCTACAGCACTCTACCCAGGGGGATAGCTTGAGGCTCTGTCTCAAAAAAAAAAAAAAGATGACAAGTTTGTAATTTCAACTGTAATTTTGTATGTTTTCTTACACTTCAAATTCAATATATAATTGGATTGATGATACTGTCTTGTGCCAGAAACTGATTCTTCTATTTGCTGATCTTGAATCCTTGTCCTTCACATCTCAAACACACACAGTCGGTACCCATGAATACCCCCTTATTGGTCCTCTCCATTCCTGCTGTTTCTACCCAGTCCAGGCTCCTGTTACCTGCACTGTCACTTCTCAATGTTATCAACGTTCTACAAGCTATTGACACAAATCTCAAGGATGCTAAGTCACTAGGTTTAGATTCCCAGCACCTGAAAACACCAAAGTTCCTCTCCACCTACAATTCTCTGGGCAAATGTCATCACAGATTGTGTTGTCGGATCTAAGCTCCACAGTGCAAGAAAGGGCTTACAGAAGTTCCTTTCTTCCTTCCTTCTCTGCTTCCTTTCTTCTTCCAATAAACACATATTTGAATGTGTATTATGTGACAGATAGTAATGCTGGGGATACCATGGTCTCTGCCCTCAAGATACCAGTTTGAGATATAGATAAATAAATAGATCATAAATAGCAGGGTGACAGCATGTCACAGGGGCATGTGTGAAGGACAAATACCCCAGATGAGTGGGGGCTAGGGATAACACATCTGGAGAAACAGACCTAAGAGACTTGAAGAACTGGTGGGTGCTGGTCAGGAAAAGGTGGGTGGAAGCAGGGGAGGGGGTAGTACCAGGGTGTCTCAGAGCTGGAGGGGAAGAGCTTACTTATTAACCCAGAGCCAAAAGGGGAGGAATGAAAAAAAAAAAATACAGCTTAGCAGGAACTTCTAGTGCAAGGAAACCTGAGAAGTGAGAGGTGAAACTGGAGAGGCTGGCAGGGATGGAAGGGGCAGGTGTGGACCAGAGAGAAAAGTCAGTTTTCTGGGACAGCTGTGTCTGCTATTTCCAGACTTTCTATATACATACACTGAAGGTAGTCACCATATCCAGGGCAGCATTCATCTGGAGAAAAGTAGTAAAATGATTCGACTGTTGATTTTTTCCAATTAATTCTTCAAAATAGAAAAGTGGCACTTGGAAAGGCTTTACTTTTTCCACTTGATTTTATTAGAAGGTAGTGAGGTTTACAAAAGGTGGGTGTACACGTACTCCCATGAACACCTATGTCTGACCTGGGTACCTCTTTTTCATCTGTTCCTTTATTTGTAAAAATAAGGAAATTGGACTCTAGGAGCTAAGATACTTAGATTTCTATGACTTTATATATTACTTTTGTCAAAAGACAAAAATCACAACAAATTTAAAGATCTGAATGAACTCTATGATTCTAGAATGGAGCAACATTTCATTCCATAAAATAAGTGTTCTATGGTGGCGCCTGTGGCTCCAAGGGGTAGGGCGCTGGCCCCATATGCCAGAGGTGGTGGGTTCAAACCCAGCCCCGGCCAAAAACTGCAAAAAAAAAAAAAAGTGTTCTAAGGAGCTGAGCAGAATTAGCTTTATAGACAGACCAGGGCTAAAGAAATCAGAAGCAAAGAACAAAGAGTGTGTTGATTACTTCTAGACAGACAAAAGAAAAATTACTGATTAGTTATTATAAAGTTACTTTAGTCTACCTTTTTTCAGTGCTAGGATTGGAGCAGAGGGAACTTCATTATCATGCTTTTCAAAGATTTAAACTGGCCTGGTTGGAACTTGGCTATCTCTCCCTCTTGATTTTTCCAAATTAAGAAGCAACTTAATTTAGGTTTGGTGACTTGGAACTTTAGCATGGGTGGCTCCATTTTCATTTTTAGTCTAGTCCTTTGAGACCCACTTCAAGAATTTAGTCCAAAACAATGGCCTCTTATAATTTTTTATTTGACAACAGTGTGATGGTTAATTTTATGTGTCCACTTGGCTGGGATGTGGTATCCAGTTGTTCGGTCAGACATTGTGGTGTCTTGATGTTGCTGTGAAGGCATTTTTAAGATATG